AATGTAGCTGTGTTCCTGTAAAGGTGTGTTTGAAAGTGTTATCGAGAGAACAGTTTATTTCGTGTCATTTTTTAAATTAGTGAAATGATGAGGAGAACTTTCCTCTTCGTTTCAACTCGAGAAAAGTTCTTCCGAAGGGGGAAGGAATCTATAGCTGTAACGTCGTCAGCTATTTTCCCACGGACTCCCACGAAGTCTGGGAAAAGGAGACTTCAAATGGGCGCCAGATGACCACCCTGATGACACTTACGAATTCTTGAGGTCGAACGTGACCCCCAACAAAGTGCGGAAAGCATATTGTTTTTACGAAAGGAGAAAACTTTCATACAAGTTCTCACGGGTTGTGGAGTGTCCATTGTGTGTATGCGATAGACTGTCGCCAACTGCCTGTTTCTCGAAATAATTTAGATAGACCTCCCAAAAAGACGTTCTGAATTTTCCCACGGAAAATTTCAGTTTCTCAGGCTGTCAAGACAGTATCTGAGAACAAATCAGCGCCTGTTAACCAATGGAGAGATGCTCCGAAAAAGACGTTTAGCGAATCACTGCAGCAGACGCACAAGACACGAACAGAAAACCTGGACATAAAAACAGTGAGTGAAAATAATTAGAGAGTTTTTTAGTCTGAAGAATACGCAGTCGTTGCGTAGAGAAGAGAAAGCCTTTCTCTTGTATTTTACGGCTCTTCCCGAGTCGCTAGTAAGCTTTAGAGAGCCTTTCTCTCTTGTGTATTTTACGGCTCGTCCCGAGTCGCTACTAAGCTCTGTCAAGAGCGGAAAAAGAAACTCTCAAAGAAGCGTAGCCGGACTTTTTCTCCGCTACCTTTGTTTGGACTTTGTTTGAACTCAAGTGATTATCGTTTCCTATGTAAACGGACTATTTTGCTAAGCAAACTACTTTGTTATGATAAGCAGTTGAACTTACCTTAAAATTCAACTTGTGTAATTTAACACCTATCCTTCAGTAAAATATTTTATTTACGCTACCCAAAATAAAAATCTGACTGTTCTCAAATCGCTAAATTGTATGAAATTTTAATATATATTGCATAACTGGAACTAGATATTAAAAATGGTGTTTTACACAAATAGTTTCAAGGATATATTCGGAAGGAAAAAAATGGAATAACAATAGTCAAAAATTTCTTTTTTTTTTTTTTTTTTGCCAATGCATTATACATTATGGAAATGGGGGGTTCTCCCCTTTCTCCGCAAAGTCTCGAATATTCAAACCATTACAGTTCGCAACAAAGCAAGCAACGGACTTTTTTTTTTGGTCACTTTCCCATCTGGATTGAATAGGACTACAAGTTCTGTGGTGTACCAGCCCAAGCGAAGAATGATTCTGTTCCAGAAATTTAATGCATTTTGTTCAAAATTAGAATGACAAGCAACGAGATTGGTAAATCTCTTTATCTCTTAAATATGAGTACGGGAGGGATATCCCGCAGAGCGCGACATGTCCTGCTCGATGATAAATATGCCACATGGACGCATGACGATGAAAACCAGACGAAGCAAAGGGGCATTTTCCTTTATTTAGTTATTTATTCTCCGAATACCGGCAGCTGTTGATTCCGATTGCATAATATCACGTGCAGAAGAATTAAGGCGCACGTATTGCGCAATAACGTCTGCGATATTTCACAGATATAAAAGAGTTTTACTGTGCTTGTTAAGCAGATTAATTTTCAGTTCCATTGGACTATTTTTTCTATAATGCACATATCAATATGCCAAGAGCATTATTTAGCTGAAAAATCTAACGAATGGCTACAACCTATCCCCCTTTCCACTTTTACCAATTATGCTCAACTATCCGGAAATTTCAGATATTCACAAATTTCTGAGTATGCTGGGTAGTTAAGCTTTTACTGTTAAAGGATGACTGCATGAAGAAATTTCCCATCTTCTGATTTCAGAAAAGCTCCTTTTTTTACTTATTTTTACTTAAATTACTTTGCCTGCAATATCTTTTAAAGGAAAACTGTTATATAATGAAAATTTAGAAAATGTTCAGTATTTTGATTTAAGTTATTTAAATATTAATAAGATTGGAAAAATAAATTGTATTTATTTTAGGTGCCAAGCGAATATAATAAATATGGTTTATTTTTATTTATTTTCTCTATTTTAAACAGAAATTTCGTCATTAAATCTTGTAATATGATTTAGTTCTGCATATTTTTTTCCCTCTTATTGTAAACTAGTTCTGTGAATTGAACTGTTATTTAAAATTTTAAAAAAATAATGTAATTGTTTTCCATGGTTGAGTAATGTTCATTCTCTCTTAATTAATACTGAATTTCTCATATTTTAAATTACAAATCTAATTTTTCTTTTAAGATCATGCAGTTGTGTATAATGTAAATTAGACAAGTGCTTATTTCTTTTCCTAAAATGTGCTTGAAAAGTGCTTATAGGTGCTTATTTTTTTAATTAAAATGTGGCTATGAACCCTGGAACAATCACATAGCACAAATAACATTATAATTCAGTGTCTAGTCTCTGTTAACATCGGTGCAAGGATGGTAGAGCACTCTACTATGGGAGTATCGTCACTGAACAGTGAAAGAATGAAAACAAATCATTTTGGTCTGATAATTTGTTTCCAATTAATCTGGGATAACTGAAATTCTCCTAGATGGAGAAAAACCTAATAAATTAATGGTTTCTAATATATGTGCTAGAGATTTAAAAGCTGGTGGTGGCTTGATTATAGTAGAAAAGAAGTTCTGTTGCACAAATTGGAATTTCTTGTATGTCTCACTGAAAATATATTAACATTCTGCCAGGTCTATTATATTCAGTTATGTCATGCATTCACTAGACTTTATCTCTGCAAATAAAGTAATATGCATTTAGTTACTTATATTCAGCCACCTAATAATAGTTTGAGAAGTAAACATCTGAATTTGAGGTCATGAGATAGTGTTGTATTAATAGATGCAGACATTATTGAGCAGAATTGGGATATTATGCAATGTTTTGTACAAAGCAGAGGTCAACCATCTATGAACAGTACAGAATTTTAATCGTTTTTCAGGAGACATGGTATTCAATAGGTTTTGTAAGTTAAATCATAAAAAACAGAATAAAAGGGTTGTCAATGAATTATCATTATATCTGTAGTTTGGTAAATAACATGTATCTATATGATTCATATATGCATCTTTTTACCTGTATGTTAGGAATCAGTATGTTAGGAAGCATTTCATAAAAGTTTCATGAGCAATCAATTTACATAATTTTCTGACTACACTATTAATGTTGCTATACTACTTGGTATCAAAACAGCTATGAAAACAATTTATATATCACTTACTTTACACTGATATTCATGCTTGATGAACTAATAAATAGAAACTAAGTTTCAAGTGAGAATATTAAGACTGCTCTGAAGCATTCTAAGAAAGGCAAACTACTTATTCTGCAGTGTGTTTTTGAGTCTGATCTCAAAAACTAGGATGTTGAAGAATATGCAATTTTTAATAGATCCAGTTATGAAGAATGTCATGGAATGAATTGAAAGAAATAACATAATATGATTTCCCAAAATTCTGTAGGCAATTTTATCAACATTTACTAAGAGGAAGTCAGTGAGGAAAAAATACAATGCTTAAGTAAAGAAAAAAAATTTTTCTTTAATCCGTAAAGTATTGACTATGAAAAATAAGAAATTAAATCATGTTTTCTAAAAAGAATTTGGAGTATTTTTACCAAGGGAGGAAAAAATACGTTGCAAGAGTAAGATTAAAAAAAAAAAAAAAAAAAGCATTTTGAAGAGGTTATCTGATTGTTACAAAATTTCATATGCAAATCCATTTTTATCCAGCATGCAAATGATTGAAATTGAGCATCAAGATGATGTATAAAAGACAAGAAGATTCAATTCTAGCATATAACTTCCATTCGAATTTGTCCATTCACTCTGACTGTACCTATGCTTTGTATGTGGTCTGCACCTACAGTACAAAGTCTGATATCTGAAATTGTCAGAACTTCATAACTGAACAAAAAATTGTATCTTACTGTAAAATTAAAGAGAATGTATTAGCACACAAAAGAAAATTTCTTTAACAACTGTTTTGAAAAATGTTTTATTGAAACAAAACAAATGTTAACATTGATGTTTTTTCCTCGCCAGTTTTAAGATCATAAGTGCTACATTATTTCACAGATAACCTTTAATGTTTTAAATTTTATAACTTCTGTGTGTAATCTTATTACATTTAAACTCTTATCCAAAATCGTGAAATTTCATGGATTCAGAGATTAACATTTAAAATAGTTAGGATGTATTTAATGTAACAGATTTTCATAGAAACAAGAGTCAAATAAAATTCAATCCATGCAATGTAATGGTATTCTTACACTGTAGCAAATCTGTAAAAGTTGTGCAATTTTGAATCTAGGGAAATTGCATTTAATCCAATTTCCAGTTCTTATATCTAATCTCATTTTCCAAAGTTTAAAAATATTTTTATATTTTTAGGACCCATCTTCATACAGATAAATTATTTGCTAGCTTTTAGTGTATTATTCATTTCAGTTTCACAATTCTGAATTTCATTTGTAAATGTCCGTAAATGCAAGAAGCATGGTTTCATTTCAGCATGCTTTTATCTCTGGCAACATTTTTCTTCCATGTCTGCACCAATGATTTTTGTCTTTATTTTATTCTCTTTCTTCATTATTTGAATGTAAGAGAACAAAGGGGGAAATAAGGTTTTAGATAGTCATTATCTAAAAGAAAGGTAAAACTCTTCTAATTCAAGAGAGATTTAGAATTTTAAATATGTGTTTTCACAAGGAGAAGAAAATGTCAGTAAACTGCTGTTATTTGAGCATTGTTTAACAATAATTAACTTACTTTTATTACTAAAAATAATGTAGGAGATTTTCAATACAATGAAGATTTGAGAAATGCATATCTTTGCTATTTTATGTATTTTCAATTATTTTGATTTCATCTTAAAATTATTAAATTTCATGTTTTAGAAGCTGAGTGCCAAAGTGCAAGAAGCAGAACTGAAGCAAAAAAAGATAGAAGAAGAATTAAAGAAAAGGTAATATTTAAATGACAGCTGTATTTTTTATTCATAAATAATCTGAAGGGCTATGCATGAAAAATAACTTTTTCTAGTTTTTGCCATCATTAAAAGAATAAATAGGAATGTATTCTGTCATAAGAATTCTTTCAAATTTAATTTAAATAACAGTTACACTATTTGTATTCATTTACAAATACAGAATAATAAACATAGAAAAAAAATTATGTTTGTTACAAGAGCAGTATCACTCTATCTGGCACTGAGGAATTAATTTTACTAATCTTTCTCTTTGTTTTCCAAATGCGTACTTGCTTTTGTATATTCCTGAATACATCTTAAGTTAATTTGAGGTTTTTTTAAACTCTTGATCACAAAAATTCTATACGCTGATTGAGATATTAATCCTATGGTGGACAGTGCAAAACTTGAAGTATCCTAGCTATTTATTTTTGTTTGCAGGATGATTTTCAAAGAATTAAATGACCATCTTCTTATTGATAATAAAATCTTTTTATGAGATGAAACTTATTTTCTATACTGTCATGATATGAAGAATAAGGTGTTGTATATGTAATATTTTCTCTCTAGTTTTTATATAGTTTTAGACAGGGTTGAAATATGAATAAATAAAACTATACAAAAGAGTATGTAATGTTTATATGCATGTGTAGGGTGTTTCAGCACAGTAATTAACAACTTTCAGGAGAGAAAGAGTACACTTAGATGATGGAAAATCACATAGCAATGCATGGTTGGAAATACTTCCTAAAACAGCTAAAATGTTGGGACGGCTTTGGCTGGTGTACGAAGTAGATGGCACTAATTACATTAAAATATCAGATGACAATGCATGTGTGCGGTAGTTGCAGCTGTGCTCGCTGTGACGCTTCATTTCACATACTGAAAGATTGGAAATAGGATAGCATTTACACGAACGTGGAGCTCGCTGATTGCAGTGGGCAAGGCATACAGTGGTTGTATGTCCAACATTACCCCATGAGGCAGACTCCCTGTCACACCTTCTTTGCACATTTGCAAGGGAGGCTGTCCCAAAAGGGATACAATAGCGTGAGTGAACAGTAGCAATGCTAGTCAATGAGGAGACTATGCTGGGCATTGTTAAAGAACAATCCTGGTGTTAGTACACAGGCTATTGCCGGTTGTGTTGGGATTTCCCACAGGCTGCATCTGGTGGATCCTGCACGACAACTCCATGCACCATTATAACACCCAATGCATCCAGTTACTGGACAAAGATGATTTTGCTTCACAGTTAGCCTTTGCACAGTGGTATTTAGAGAAGCACACAACAGACCTCCATTTCCCAGTCACCATTTTGTTCACCGATGAGGTGACCTTCACGCAAGAGAGAATGTTCAACTCACAATACTCCCTTGTGTGATTGGAGGAGAACCCACATGCAACAAGAGCCTGTACATCCCAGAGACAGTTTTCAGTTAATCTATGGGTGGGCATCATTGGGGACCATTTCATTGGGCTATACTTGTTGTCCCAACATCTGACAAATGCAACCTATCTCACCTCCTTCAGAAAGTATTGCCACAGCTATTGGACAGTGTACATGTACTCGCTGCGATGCATTTTACCATATGGTTTCAGCATAATGACGCCCCCTCACATTACAACTTTAATGAGTGTCTCCTCTTGAATGGAATATACCCTGAACATTGGATCATCAGGGATGGTCTGGTGCATTTGCCAGTAAAGTCGCCAGGCCTCATTTGCATTTACTACTTTCTCTGGGGGTGCACATCCAGAAACTGGTGTATGAAATCCCCATTAATAACAGTGCTGAGGAACTTGTTGCATGCATAGTGGCAGCTGCTAGAGAAGTTCAGGGCACGTCTGGTGTTTTCCAGAACATCAGATCTTCCATGAGCCGGAGATGTGAGCCCTGCATTACGGCCCAAGGTCATAATTTGTAACACCTTCTTTGATGATCGTTGCCTGTTTTTGTTCTTATTATTTGGATTCTGTTGTACTAAGCATAATAAACATGTTTTTTCACCCTGTTTGTGTCCTTCATTTCTTGTGTTTCGTGTTGTCTCTACCACACGAGGAAACCATTTCTGGTCTGGTATGTGATTTTTCATCATCTAGGTGTACTCTCTCTCTCTCTCTCTCTCTCCTGGAAGTTTGTAACCACTGTGCAGAAACACCCTGTATATATTCTTTTGAGTATTTTCATGTGTTAAATAAGAAATAACTTTGCAGAGATATGATATTCTGCATAGTTGAAATAAATGAAAGTAAATGGATATGAGATAAAAGCTTTATGATAGAAACTTAACAACAGTAATAAGAACTTGTTGATGAGTTTATTAAATTTATATTTGTATATATCTCATTAGTTACTAATTTTTTACAAAAGACTTTAATAGTTATAATTGTTTTTAAAATTATGACTTAAAGAAAGTATTCTGAGAGAAAAAAAAAAAAAAAAAAAATAATGTGAAATGTGCTCTAAATTTTTCTTCTTTAACCTTTTTATGGTTTAAGTTTTAGTTTGAAAACATTAATATAATAAAAAATAATCATTATTAATCTAGTACATCTTTGTTCTGATATTTTTTATATGTATATTTTAGGGTGAAGGAGCAACAAGAGCTGAAATTTCAGCTTACTAACTGTGAAAAAGAAGCTGAAAGTTTAGTTTCAAAGGCAATAGAAAAACTACAGTCATGTGAACAATCTAAGTATCTGCGTATTCCATCTAATGACCGTATCAATCATATGAAAAAAGTTATCAGTGATATTAAAAATTTGTCTGACGAATCAGAGACTAAGGATTTGACTATTGATGATATATTAAATGCTAACATCTTAGTAAAAGGAATATATGAAACTCTCCAGGATATAACAAATGATATAGGCAAGTTTTTTTTAATATTTTATTTTCTAGTTTGAAGTCAAATTTCCTTTTCATCCTTTTTTTTAAATGATGAAACATTTTTGCAGAGTTTGCTAAAATCAGAGCAGTGCAGGAACAGGAAGAACAGGCAAAAGTATCACAGGAAACAGCTACTCAGAATGAGAATAGTGAGATCAGTAATGGTATTTGTTCTTCGATGGATGAAAGTAAGTATATCACATTAATCTGCTTCAGATTTTTTCTGACCTCCTCTTTGTAATGCTTTTAAAATAAGTCACTGTATCTGCAGTACATTGTACTTTAGCAGATTATTACTTTGCTAACTTATCTTAATATAACGAATGCATTATTGTACTGTTTTTGTTACTTTAAAAAAAGTTCTTCCTTTCTTGTTATGCTAATATAATGAGCTTGTGATGCTCATTATATTATATTTGATTGTATATTTGATTTTTAAAATATCTTTTTTTTTTTTTTTTATTCTGAAGAAAATGTTGCAACTTGTATGTAACAAAAATTATGGAATCAATTTTTCTGCTGAAAAAGTCTCATCATATACTGATATATTTTAAATAAAGATAAATAATTTTTTGTATAATTTTTTAAACATTTTAAAGTAATAAATGGGTTTAAAATACACTTTAATCTTCCCTTCTGAAAAAAAAAGGGAGGGAATCAAGGACGAAGTCATAATTTGGATGCAGCCCAACCCTTCTAGCCAACAATAAGTCAATCTCATAGCCGCAGTGGATAGTACTCACCAGGAAGGCAGCATCTGATTGTAACAAAATTTTCTCTTCAAATATCTTTTGATCCTATGGGAAATCAAATTTTGGCATACACTGGATGAATGGCTTAAGTTATAAAGCATCATTACTGAGCATTCGAATGATATATAAAAGAGAGGAAAATTGAATTTTGGAGCATAATTTTTACTCCACTATGATTATACCATTGCCAGTTTTATCTACTCCACTATGACTATACCAGTGCCTTGAAAATGGGTTCTTGCACAGTCTGAGCATATGTCATCAGTTAAGAGAGGGTGTGAAGTCATTTAAAAGAAGGGTTAAATTTAATCGATCTCTCAACATTTAGGTTTAAGTAATGGTTGAACTGTGGCAGAGTGCAATAAAGCAGCAGGGGAGTGGACAGAGCAGTCGCCGTAGCGGCTCTTGCAGTATCCAATTCATTGTTATCTATGATGTACATGTAATTAGAACATCAGTGACTGCAAAAACCATTGACATGAAATCCAGAGGACAGAATGTCCACTTATAATGCTTATTACACCGACAACCCCTCACCTTTGCACTCCAACTAGAGCATTTGCAGTGATTTTGGATTCATCTGACATGAAATCTCACTGAGTACATTTATCTTCAGCTATAAAATTTGCATCAAATTCAGCCATGATGACCTGCAAAGAAATGTCTGGAGATGTCCAGGATAGTGATGAGATGCTTAACTAATTGTCATCCATTGCACAACCCGAGAGTGTAGCCTGGAGCAGGACTTAGAAGAGAAGGGCTAGTCCATAGAGCTTTTCTGTCTGAATCAGGAAGTGAGGAGTGATAACGTAGTCATGTTGACACTGACTCCAAAGACACAATTCGCAGCAAAGAAATAAATTTGAAAACAAAACAACAACAACAACAAACAAAACAAAAAACCTGAAAAACGGTGTATGAAAAATAGCTTTAATTTAGAAGAGAAGATGTTATTACTGTATGCATTTATAATGTTTAAAAAGTTAATAATACTTATGTATTAATTTTAAAGTAATAGGTAAAATATACTACATTTTCATAGAAGTTGCAGGTTTTTCTCCCTGTGCATTTATTATTAAATCACAAAGAAAAAAAACTATGGCATTCATTATCTTTTCTTCATCTGCATACTAAGTGGGATAATTCTATTACTCTGTCTAAGATAACTATAATAACAGCCTTTTAAAGTTAAGGGGAGAGGAAACACCACCTTAGTTTGGCATAGTTTAGAATATATATGTCAATTTTTTTTCTGCGGGTAAGGAAGAGGAACTTATATTTGACTGCCCTAGAAACTGATAGTTTTATTCAAATTTTAATCAAATTTAAGACTGCTTTTTTGACCTGCTGTAATTTTTATATTAGTATGTTTCTCTTCCTATTTGATATAATAAGAAATATTTTTTAAATAATTGTCTAACTTATACTTACTTTATACACATACATTGCATTTAAATATATATATGATCATTGTTTTAAGTTCGACAAAACAACTTTGCTCACAGTATCTAAAGAGAATTACTTAACCATTCAGAAGAGGGGTAAAGGAGGAAGATCTTTTTCATGCAAAATTATTTTGATGGTTTATATGATTATAAATTACTGAGCTATCTTTGTTTTTTATAAATTATCAATGCATTCTTGTTTATTTTTAGTTAGGGCATTCAGCAGTATTTACATCGTCATTTGTGAGTTCTATTTTAAAATCATTTGTATCTGATTTATTATTCTTATCATCATTTTCGTAATCGGCCTCAATATGAATTTTTTCAGACTTAATTCGTGTAATCTTTCAAAAGCACTCTGCTTTATTTTTCTTTTGTTTGCACAATATTGGATATAAACAGCTTCTTTTGCAGTAATCTAAGCAAGCAATTTTTTATATCATTTTCACAATCACTGCATAGAAAAGGTTTGCTGCAGATTCTTATGTTCTTCACATTAATAGAATCCTGTCTTCGACATAAGTATCTCTCTTTATATATATATACTTTTTTTTTTTTTTTTTTTGCCAAAAGCAAATTGTCCCGTGGAAAAATATGAAATACAATATCCCTATCATTCTCATTGCTTTGAATTTTATGCCTTTTTGTGATAACTCAAAAAGACATATTACATAAACGATACTTTACAAACAGTGGTGTCAAATTTGCATTGCACACGGGCCAATGCACAATTTGAAAGTAGCTGACAGGCAGCAGTTACAAAAAAAGGGGGGAATTGGAATTTTTTTAACAAAACAAAATTTGATAATCAAATTAAAAACCTTTTACTAAATATTTGTAAAAATATATAATTAAAAGTAATGCAAAGAAAAATATCAAATTTATACTTACATTCTGTCTGAAATCTAAAAGTTGGTATCTGCAAGAGATTTCTGTTGGTCACAATTTGGATTTCAAACAGACAGTTAAATATTAAAATTTAGCAGATAAGTATCAGATTGGCATTTATTCAGCTAATTGTAATAAATTGAACTACTAAGTAATTTATTTTTAATTTAAACTAAAAAGAAATATACAAAATCTTCTCTAGAGAGACAAAGCATGAGAATAATGACAACATATTCTCTTTCTTCTATTTATTAGATTTTTCTGTGGTGCAAAACAGAAAAAATGTAAATTAATTAGCTCTATTTCTATATTTTCTGAAGAGTTACGTTTGATTTTGCTAATGAAAATAACCTAAAACTGGACTTCAAACCGTGAAAATCTTAAATGTTTTCTTCAAATTCTTGTCATGATAATGCTAATTAATTTGCCTGAAATGTATTCACAGGCAGCATGAAATTACCTCGAGGGCTGCCAATTTGACTTTGACACTGCTTTACTAGAACAGAATATGTGTAATTGAAATTAATTTAGGATGTCCACATTGCTGGAATATCGCTTCGCACCAGAATGGAACTATAGTCTTAAACAGCTGAAGTCAGAGCAGATGCATCATAGTCATGTCAGACTGTTTCCTGTTAACTCCCCTATGAGGATCATATTGACAAAGGAATGAGCTAGCCCTTCTTTTTAACCTTGGTCTGGAGGGCCATTTCATTAAATAACTGGATCCTTTCAATTGTCGTCCATGATATTCTTACAGCACAGCCATATCTTTAATATTTTATGCTCCATTATGTTGCCTTTAATTTCAAGACACTCCAAGCTTATATTTCAACAAAAGTGCTTGGCTGCATATAGCAGTAATTTCTAATGATTGTTTGATACTTGTCAAACACTTCCCTGGCCAACTGTATTGCCAGATCTCTTTGCAATACAGCACATTTGAGGGTCTGGTTAGCAAGTGCCTCTAACCATTTCAGGATGCCAGCAATCTAACTAAAAAATTGAACAGTGTTTGATAAAAAAATAACAGTGTACGCCCAAAGGGGCATTCTTTTAGCGTTTTGTGTGTTACCCTTATTTATTAAATATCATGTTCTTCGCGCTTAAACCATAAAATTCAGTTCAATAGCAATATTGCAAAATAGTTTTAAAATTAATCTTTAGAATTAGAATTTCCGATACACCGTCTCGAGTGCTGGAGTTAAAAAAATTTTTTTTTCTTTTGTACAGTGTTGCCATTGCTCACTTTTAAATCGTTGAGTTTGTTAATCAAAAATTGGTTAAAGTTTTACAAAATATGAAATAGATAAAAAACAAATTCCAAATTTGGGCTTCCAGATGCTGATATTCGAGTGGAAGCGTACGTTATTCAAAATTTGTTGGCTCAAGGTATAGTTGTTTTATCACCGTGTGAGAAACATACATACATTTATGCAAATTCTTAATTATTTAATTTCTTCAAATATAATACAGGGCTTTAAAATTTGGTGGCAACAATTTGAAAAGGGAACTGACATTCATAGGGAATCAATGCAAAATGCCAGAACGATATTAATAGTCCTTCTGGGAAAATTGCCTCTTTGGACTAAAAATCCCACAAGAATATCACAGAATTAAAATTTTGCAAAATTTAAGTTTGATACTAAATTTTGATCCACTAGTACTACAGTCATTGCCAAGTTAGATGATAACTTACACAAGGAACATAAGTGGATGCCTTATTGATTTATTTGCTACATATAGCAGTATCTCCTGAATAAAACATTCTGTTTCTCTGAAATGTTAACATTTCGTTTTCCATCCATCTACCAGATTTCATTCCATCCTAGATAACTCCTTGGTATGCCCCCTTTCCCCCTTGCTGTGCATGTAGCTTAGTATAGCAATGTTTAAGAATTTTTACTTAAATCTAGTTTTAAAGTTTTTGCTGAGAAACAGTACTGACATGTGAATCATCTTCCTCCTCCCCTTGAAATAGCATCATATTGATTATAATAATTTGAATTTCATATTTGCTGTTGTTTGAAAATTATTTAGAGAATCCTGATTTATAAATTGTGTATTGTTTAAATTAATGTCTGGTTTTATATTTTTTCCTTC